CAACGGGGGTAAGTTCTACTGGTGCCCGAACTACCTCACCGTCATGAAGTGCAAGGGAACGTATGACTACGAGGTGGGCCAGGCGAAGCTGAACGAGGGCGGCTCTTCGAGCCGTTCGTTTCGTGCCTAAGCGTGGGCAGGGCCAAGGAGGAAGCTCGGCGTCCCCCGCAAAGGCCGGGGAGCTTCCTGGGTCAAGGACGGAGGCGCCCATTTCGGAGACGCCCTTCGAGTTTGCGGCCGAGCAGCTCGACAAGCGCCATCTCATATTGTTCAATGCTGGGGATGAGCATAGCTTCAATGACCAGCTGGGAAAGTCTAAGGCGGCCTTCGTAGTCGCCAATGACAGCACGTTTCACTCAGTCGACTTCGACGCCGTTGCGCTGGTCGACACTGCGTGCACCCTTTGCATGCACAGTAAGCATTGGAGACAGCGTTTCGAACGATTTCTACCACCTGGCTTGGCGCGCCGGCCAACCGGCAGTCATAGGCTCTTCACCTTCGCGAACGGCGCCAAGCAAAAGGGCGAGGTCTGGATCATTCCGATTGGCATCGGCGGCTACCGTGGCGAGGCACACTCAACGGAGATACCCACGGGACAGACGCCACTGCTTTTGTCGATACCAGCCCTTGAGATGCTTGACGGCCACATTCATATGAAGACGAAGAAGCTCGAGCTCACCGCGTTGGGGGTCACCGTGGCGCTTGTCAAGATGCGGAAGACCCCTCATCTGGGGATCGACGTATCGCAGTTCGGTGACGACGAGAGCGCAGAGACACAGAAGATGGATCTGACGTCAACCCGAGGAGACGCACCAGTCCACTACGCGAACGACCTAGAGATCGCGAAGCAGGGCTATGCCTTCTTGGAGACAGATTGCCACGACGACGACTTCGATGTCTTGTTAAACTCCAATGGTGGCACCATGGATCTGAATGACCCTCGTCGTCATCGCTCGGATATCTCACTGGCTTCGAGAGGCGTCAGAGCTGGAGATCTACGCGGAGAACTCACGAAGAGGTGGACGGAGGAGCTCACTAAAGTTTCGAACAGAATCATTGCGCAGGAGAATCATACCTGGGTAATTCTAAAGAAAGAGTACACCCTGGCCGAGAAGATAGCCACGAAGGGTTTCAAGACAACGATGATTTTCGAGCCTTGGGGTGGTACCCTTAGAGTTGCACGGATCGGATCGGCAAATTTCGGATGGACGAAGTCTCAACCGTTAGACAAGGTAGATGGATACGATCTGTTGACGGCAGATGGAGAGAGGTTGCTGTTCAATATCCTGGAGGAGCACGACCCTGTTTTGACCATCGTGGCGTTTGATTGCAGGATTTGGTCAGTCAAGACGAACATCTGCCCGACGATCGACTGGGAGAACCTCCGAGAGACCACAGGAGTCCGAGCCTTGCGTCTGGTGAAAAGAATCTGCGTTCATCGCTTACAGCACGGTCGATATTTTCTTGCAGAACAGCCGTGGTCAGCAGCTTCCTGGAAGTACAAGGGAGTGCTGGCGGAGGTGTTTTGGTTACCCGGGACATGGTTTGCTTCGGGTGCCCAGTGCGGGCTTGGCAAGAAGGATGTGGACAGCGGAAAGCCTATCCAGAAGCTCAGCGGCTACCTCACCAACAGCCAGTGTATGTTGAACAAGTTGGCCATACCTTGCAAGTGCAAGGAGCCTCATGAAATGGTGGAGGGCAACAACTCATCAGGGAAGCGAGCAGCTCAGGCGGCGGCCTACCCGCCGAGGATGGCAGCGGCGACATGTGAAGGATTACGTCTGCAGATCGAGCTCGATAGCGCTATCGGCTTGACCGCAGGCCATGCGGAGAAGAGCTACCCTGCAGCCGGTGAAGACGGAGTCGAAGCACCACCGGCAAAGAGAGCAAGGAGAGGTCCAAAGCTACTCGGAGGAGTTGGCGGTCTACGACGACGAGTCACTCGAAGAGGAGGCTGGATCAATATGCAGAAGGAGAAGTCGGACAAGGTGATGGAGAGTCAACAATTTCGTGGATTTCCTGACGCCGCTCACCCTGCTGTGGCCATCAGTGGACGAGCGGGCGGCGCAGACCGGGAAGCTCGAGGAGACGAATGCGACAGTTAAGCTGCTTATGATCAGGCGCAACCCGCGTACGCTATTAGCAGCACAGCCTCATCTTCACGCATCGCAAGCACCTTCGGACAGCCTACGCCAGAAACGAACGAGGATTGTGGCAAGAGCTCGGATGGGAAGACTGGACGAGCTTATCATAACAGCAGAGAGTCATGAAGATCGCAGGTGCGGATATTCTAATCATGGTGCATGGCGCGCAGATCGGCGAGGCGGAGGACGAGGAGAAAGATAAGGAGACGACCCGGCAGCAGCGTTGGGATCAGTTACCACGCGAGCTGAAGATGGCGATCAGACGACTTCATGAGAATTTTGGTCACGCTTCGAAGGTGGAGATGTTAAGGGCTTTGCGTATTTCGAGGGCGTCGGAAGCAGCAATCAAGGCGTGTAGACTATTTCACTGCGAGCACTGCGAACGAACCAGACGACCGGCACTGGCAAGACCGAGCGAGTTACCTACAGTGGACGAGTTCAACGTTGTGGTCGGGTTCGACACCTTTGCCGAGAAGGACGCAGATCAAGCGGGATGGCAGTTTCTCAACATCATATGCCTGGGTTGTTCATTTCAAGTCGTCGCGTTGTTGGGAGAAGTCCACAAGATGGCAAGTTCGAGTACCATCCTGGAGACCTACGAGTTGTGTTGGGCTTCGTGGGCTGGTGAGCCTGAGGTTGGAGTCATCGTGGACAGGGCCAAGAGATTCCTTGGCTGTTTCTCTGAGTACATCTCGAGTCGCGGCTGCCGTTTCGACTCGGCCGCCAAGGCAGCAGCATGGCATACCGCCAAAGTCGAGCGTCATGGAGATCTTTGGCAAGCCATGTGGAGGAGAGTCGTGTGGGCCAAGCAGGTAGCGGGTCGCGAGGACGTCTTGAAGGCGGTGATTGAGATCAACCAGGCAAAGAGTTCTTTGAGCAATAGATCGGGTTTCTCACCAGCGCAGTGGGTACTTGGTCGAGACATACGTTTACCGGCAAACTTGATGGTCGACGGCGAGGTGGAGCGCACTGGAGCAGTGGCAGCATCAGCGACACCAACATCAAAGTTCGCAAGGAAAGTTGCACTACGGCAAGCAGCACGCGAGGCACACGCGAGAATGGCGAATGAGGACGCCATCAAGCGGGCAGAACTTCGACAAGCACGACCAGAGCGTGGACCCTTCAATGTCGGTGACTGGGCGTTCTACTACGACCAGAGGGGGCAAGGAAAGAGACCCGAGAGTGTCATCAACTGGAGAGGAGTTGCAAGGGTCATCGGTCACGAGGGCAAGCACACTATCTGGATCGTGCACCGGGGTATCACAATCGCTTGTGCACCAGAGCATCTCGCGAAGGCTTCAGATGAGGAGGTCAGAGCCTGGCTTGTGACGGCGCAGGAAGCGGATCTGATCGACACCACGGGAGTCGCAGGGGGCAGCGGGTTCATAGACTTGAGACGGCGGCCAGTACCACCAGACTTTCGCGAAGACGGAGTTCTTGCACAGCCAGAGCCAGCGGCGGCGCAGCCACCTCCGGAGGCGCCACCACCTGAGGTGCCACAGCCGAGTGAGAAGGAAGAAGTTCCAGCACCACAGCCAGAAGCAGCAGAGCAACAAGAAGTACCAGAAACACTTCGACAGGACGGACCACCTGTACCTGAAGAGCCAGCTGGTCGACGACCCGAACAAAGGGACGAGCAGGAAGAGGCCGTGAAGGATTTCGTTCAGCAGACAAGTCAATCGAGAGAAGTTCCAATGGGTGAAGATTGGGATCCAGATCTGCACGATTATCATTCAGTACCTGTACGGGGTGCACCACTCGACGACCCGTCGAAGGAGGTGAAGGCGAGGCCAGCAGAAGAAGCAGGAGAGCGAGAGGCAAAACGACAACGGTTACTCGAAGATGTACCTCGCTCGATTCGAGAGAGTCGGAAGGATCAAGAGGCGGCGTTCAATGTCTATGACGACAGTGACCACATGCTGGAGGCGGCCTACATGACCCATGAGGCGAATCAGACCTTCCACGGGGAGCGCGGCATCAGCAGGGAGGTGCTAGGCTTCGGAGTGGAGAGGAACGAGTTCGAGTATGCCTGTCAAGTCGGCCAGACTACCGCGAAGAAGGGCAGAAAGGAGCTGAGGTTGAAGGAGCTCAACGAGGAACAGCGCAGGATGTTCACAGGACCTGGAGGTTCCGACGAGAAGGAGTGGAAGTCATGGCAGGACTTGGATGCTTGCGAGGCCCTCGATGTGGCGGAGAGCGAGAAGATCTGGGAGACCAAGAGCGACCTTATCATCCCGGCCAAGTGGGTCAGGACAAACAAGAGCGAGGGCACCGTCGAAGGTGGATTCGAGGCGAAGTCGAGGATGGTGGTTCAGGGTTTCAAGGACAAGAGTCTTGGAGAGCACCGAAGGGACGCACCTACAGCTTCGAAGCTCGCGGAGGCGATGGTTCTTCTGGTGATTGCAAGTACCAATCTGATCATGAGTTGCGGGGATGTGAAGAATGCATATTTTCTGGACGCGGGATTGGACGTGAGGTTTACATCAGCCAGCCCCGAGGGGGACTTCCTGGCTTACATCCCAGACAGCTTCTGAAGGCCAAGAAGGCAATCTACGGTTTCGCGGAGGCGGCACGTTTATTTTGGTTGGCTTTTTTTTTTGTGAAGTATTGGAGAAGGATGGATGGGTTCAATCAGTCTTGGAACCAGCGTTATTTTACTTGAGAGATGACAGTGGCATGCTGGTTGGGATTATGTGCACTCATGTAGATGATTTGTTAGCGGGTGTTCTTGCAGAGTTTGAAAAGACAGCTTTCAAGTTTACGTGGGAGAAATTGAATTTCTCGAAGTGGCAGAAGGAGGAGTTTGTTTTCCGCGGTCGTGAGATCAAGAGAATGACGAATCGCGAGGTCGGGGTCATGATGAAGGGTTACAGCCTGAATATGAAAGGCGTGACGATACCCAGAGATCGACGGAAGGAGCTCGCCAGCCCGCTGAATGAGACGGAGATCACTTCACTGCGAAAAGCTACGGGCGAGATCTCCTGGCTGGCGCGACAACTACGAGCGGATCTAGCATTTCAAGCAGGACACGCACAGCGAGCTATGGTGGCTCCATGCGTGGCGGATCTAGTGGAGGTCAACAAGGCGATACATGATGGAAAGCGAGGAGCGGACTACATCCAGAAGTTCCCGACGGGGATCGACTTGTCCAAGTCGGCAGTGGGCGCGCGAATGGTAACCCAGAGAGCGACGAGATTAGCAGATACAAGAGCATCGGAGGACATATGCTGTTTATTGCCGAGGAAGAAGTGCTCAGTGGAAAGTTGGTCAGAGCTGGAATGATGGACTATAGTTCGAAGTCGACTCAACGCGTGTGCCGGAGCACGTTAGCAGCGGAGGCATCCCATTCAGCATATTCGCTTGAAGCTGGAGAATGGTTATGCGTTTTACTGGAGGAGGTGATCAATAACAAACTCAATCTCAAGAGCTGGCAAAATATTGTGGTGCAGCGTTCACGATTGTTTCTTACGGATGCCAAATCTGTGTATGATTATTTGACCAAGGAGGGGTCTGGTTTAAGTCGTGATAAGCGGATGGCAATTGAAGGTGCTTTGTTGAAGGAGGCTTTGCGACAACCGAATACAGAATTACGATGGGTTGATGGCATGCAGAATTTGTCAGATATTTTGACGAAAGAGGGCGTGGACTTGGAATACTTTCGACACTATTTACGGACAAGCCGTTTGACTATTCAGCAGGATTCGACAGCAGTGCGTATTAAGGAAAAGAAGAGAGCACGACGAGCTGCAAGGAAGTCCGAGAAGCCCGACAGGAGTACCGAACACAAAGCTAGACGAGAGTCAGTTGCTGCAGGTGTTCGTTTTGCTGAGCGAGACGAGGTCGCGACGTTCGAGGCTACAAACTAAAAATAAGGAGTCTGAGATTCTCCAGGGGAGATCTATGTGAGGCCTCAGGGGCCCAAGTGAGTGAGACCCGAGCCTGTGCCTAGCAAGCCTTGTGGGCCCTCTGGAGGCCCGCCAGCCTAGCCTCTCACTGTTTTCCCTTCCCGTTTCCCCTTTGCCCCGTCTCCGTGCACTGTGCCTGCCCGTCGCCGTATTTGGGCTCTCAAGGCCGGCCTTTTTTGCTTTAGCTATCGTACTGGGCTCGACTGGCGAACAGCAGAGTTGATTTGGTCCGCTAGCCAGCGGGAGTTGCAAAATAGCCAGATCGACAATCAGAGATGGGATAATTGTGCGAGTGTGTGTGTGTGCGCGCTGAGCATGGCCCGCCTGAGCTTTCGCTTTCGTGATACCACTCGGCCGCTGGATGAGCAAGTGTGCGTGTTTGAATGTGTGCATGTGAATGAATGTGAACGGGCGTGTGTGCCCACTGTCTTCGGTCGTAGCCCGAATCCATTTCTCGCGAGGTAAACTAACTGAACCCAACTGACTGGTCACACCCGTTACGCGACGCTTTCATTCTCGGTAGCCACGGGCACAACCTATGGCGCAACCGATAGGAGACGGTTTTCTTCTCGGCCGCCGAGGGCGCAACCTGTGGCGCAACCGATCGGAGACTGTTTTATTCTCGGCCGCCGAGGGCGCAATCTGTGGCGCAACCGATAGGAGACGTTTTTTCTTCTCGGCCGCCAAGGGCGCAACCTGTGGCGCAACCGATAGAAGACGGTTTACGTCTCGGCTTCCGAGGGCGCAACCTGTGGCGCAACCGATAGGAGGCGGCTTACTTTTCGGCCGCCGAGGGCGCAATCTGTGGCGCAACCGATAGGAGACGGTTTTTCTTCTCGGCCGCCGAGGGCGCAACGTACAGCGCAACCGACAGGAGACAGTTTTTTCTCGGCCGCCGAGGGCGCAACTTGTGGCGCATCCGATAGGAGACTGTTCTCTTCTCGGCCGCCGAGGGCGCAACCTGGGGCGCAACCGATCGGAGGTGGTTTTCTTCTCGGCCGCCGAGGGCTCAATCTGTGGCGCAACCGATATGAGGCGGTTTTCTTCTCGGCCGCCGAGGGCGCAACTTGTGGCGCAACCGATAGGAGACGGTGTTTGTTCTCGGCCGCCGAGGGTGCATCCTGAGAACGCAACCGATAGGAGACGATTTTCTTCTCGGCCGCCGAGGGCGCAACTTGAGGCGCAATCGATAGGAGACGGTGGTCGTCTCTGTCGCCGAGGGCGCAACCTGTGGCGCAACCGATAGGAGACGATTTTCTTCTCGGCCTCCGAGGGCGCAACCTGCGGCGCAACCGATAGGAGACGGTTATATTCTCGGCCGCCTCCGCCGCTGGAACCAGAAAGATGCGTCCCAAAGAAGTGGCACCATTTTAGGCTCAAGGGTTTTCGGAGCAGGCCATGCATCCACGGGACCATCTGCACTCCTCTCTCTCTCTCTCACCGCTCGCACTCGCCTGCTCTGGTCGGCTGCTTTTCTCCCCTGGCGCGCTAGACGCGCGGTCCCCTCGCCCGCCCGCCTCTGGTGCGCTTCCCCGCGCGCGCTCGCCCTGGCGCAGCCACCCACTCGCTGCTCCGTGTGGAGTTCGCCGGCTCTGGCAGCCCGTTCGGAGTCGCCCTGTGGTCACGCCACTCGGCCGCGGGAGGAGAGACGTATCTGGGAGCCCCGATCGCCCGTGTCCGTCGCCGGGGCTCGTCGGCGGATGCGTGCAACGCCCGCTCCTGGGTTTCGGCCACCCATCCTGCCTCCGCCGAGGGAGAGGCGAGCATGAGGACAGCAGCGGCCGGCGGCCGCCTGGCGCTTGCTCGCAGGCCCCGGGACGGAGGAGCGACCAATCCAGGGCTGGAGCCAGAGTGGACGGCTGCTTCTCCTCCTGCTCTCGTGGCCTTTTCTGTGCCCCGTGGTGGTGAGGTCGCATGTGGTCACGCATGCCCCCCCCACTATCGGGGCTAGATGGCTCCCCACCCGCCAGGCTGGCGTTGCTACACTCAGGAGAATAAAAAAGAGAGCCCTGATCCGCCTCGCACACCCTGCCCACTGGGGCCGCCAGGCTTCCAGCGTGCACCTGCTCCCTGGGGGGCCCGCCTCGTGCCTCTGACGGCAGGCGACTGCATACCGCGGCCGCCAGGCCCAAAGCGTGACGGCGCTCTCTGGGGATCCCGACCCGCGTTCTCGGGCGAGGATGGGTTCGAGCTCGCCGCGCCGGCTCGGCTGCCGCCGCATCGGCTCGGACCCCTCTTGGGCGCGCTCGGCCTCGTCCTGCTCTTGCTCGCCAGCCTCGAACGTATGCGTGTCCCTATGACCGGCTTCGCCTGATCTCGATGCCGATCATCAAGGTTTCCCAAATTTCTAAGAACACATTCCTGACATTGTCATCGCACCTAGGGTCGTCAACCTCAGGGGTAAGGATGAGATCGGGGCTGGGTACTCGTTCCCTCCTGCCTCCCGCCTCGAGGAGAGCTGCAAGTGCGCCGAGGGGACCTACCTGGCGGAGGGCGGCGGCCTGGACGGCCCGTGCGTCGACTGCCCAGACGGCATGCAGTGCGCGTTCGGGAGCGGGGGCCGGAGGATGAGGGCACGCTAGGTTCGCGTCGTGTCGACTCGCCGCGGCGCGGGCGTTCAAGGTTGAACGCCGCTGGTGACCCAGAATCAGTCGATGTTGAACGATCTGGCGTTTCGGAAGCGGCCGATCGTTGAAGGTTGAAAGATCCCCTTGGCAACAGGAACCAAAGCCGCAGTCGGCACGACACGAACATGCCGTACCCTTAGATCTGGGCGTCGCGTTTTTTCACGTAGGGCGTTTCACATGGTTTCGGGCCATGGGGCCTTGGGAGATGGGGTCTAGGGCTTTGATCGTGATTTTTCGCGACGTTGTACTTGACTGGTTTCGCGACGTCGGATCTCAGGGGAGGAGGACGCGGACGCAGGCAGAAAGAGATATAGAAGGGCATTGGAGGAGGAGCAGGAGGTTGCACGAGGAAGGGGGGCATCGGAGGAGGGAGGGGGGCACGAGGGATCCGAGGGAAGAAGGGAGGGGGGAGGAGGGAGGAGGGAGGCGGCATGAGGGAGGAGGGAGGGGGTATGAGGGAGGAGGCAGCAGGGAGGAGGGAGGGAGGGAGGGAGGGAGGAGGATGAGCCCAGGATGCATCAACCGCGCTGCAGTACACTCTCTCGTCCCCACGTCCCCTCCTCTGCACTCCTCTCCTTCCTCCGTGCCAGCCCGTGGGCGCCTCGTGGGCGCTTCGTACGCCGTGTGCGTCGGCCGAGGTTCGCCAGGTGTCCGCCTCGTGGGCGCCTCGGTGGGCGCCTCGGTGGGCGCCTCGTGGGCGCCTCGTGGGCGGGGCGGGTCGCCCGAGAGTTCGCCTGGTGCCCGCCCGTGAGCGGCTCGTGGGCGCCTCGTTCGGCGCCTCGTGCGCTGGGCGGCTGCACAGCTTCCACGGCACGGTTTGCTCCACACCTTTTGCAGCTCACAGATTGCACCGCATAGCTTGCGTCTCATGGGTTGCATCAGGTAGATTGAGCCACACAGCTGGCACCGCACACACCTGGACTGCATGGCCTACACCACATAGCTGATGCCATATATGTGTATTTTTATATATATATGTATATATATATATATATATATATATAGCACCGCTTAGTTACCCCTGCACGGCATGGCTCACACCACAGATCTTGCTCATCAGAGCTCGCACAACATAGCTTATACCACGTGGAATGCACCACATATTTTGCCCCACGTAGCTTGCACATCCACAGTGCAATAGAGTATCGTTCGGGGCCCACGCCTGCAAACATTGGTTCAATCCAATAGTTTGGGATCGATGTCGGCATGTGCGCGCGGCGGCGCGTGCATCTGCCCTGCATGGTACTTGTGCGCAAGGGGCAATGAGAGAAAGCAAAGCTTCTATCAACGCATGTGCAACGCGTGGTACTCTGTCGCAGGAGTGAGAGAGATGTCGATACTTACTGGGGCTGAACTGGTGCGCTATCATGTGAAATTGGGGATGCGCGACCGTGCAGTGGATCCATGGAAACATCGTCTGCGGGGGGGGGGGGGGACATATGCCTGGAGGGGACGGGGGTACGACCAGACCGAGGCATAAGATCGAGGTCGGCTCGGGGAGGATACCCCAATGCTCTCCGCGGTTGTTGGATGTTCTTGTGCACCCGGGGGGAGGGCACCCTCGAGTGATCTCATGGTTTGGGGTGTTCTGGCCCGCGAAGGGTCTCAGGTTCTCGAGGGATGTTCTTCAGTCCTATGTTTGTGGAGGGCGATCAATGGAGAGGAAGCGTGTTGCCAAATACTTCCCAGATGTCCAGAACATGTGTTTAAACGGTTGTTCAAGTGCAGAGCACATGTTTGAAGCATCTTGTGGACATGCTTCTGCCTTCGAGACACATTTTCAGTTCGATGATAGAACTGTTGGGGTATCCACTGTCGTGGCACCCACAACCCTATAACCCCTATAACCCCTTATAACCCCTATAACCCCTTATAACCCCTATAACCCCTTATAACCCCTATAACCCCTATAACCCCTATAACCCCTATAACCCCTATAACCCCTATAACCTCTATACCCCCTATAACCCCTTTATAACCCCTATAACCCCTATAACCCCTATAACCCCTTATAACCCCTTATAACCCCTATAACCCCTACGTCGGGCCGCAGATTCCAATTTTGCCTTGGACCTGCCGCACACGGCGGACCCCACGCGGGGCGAGCCCGCCGGGCGCCACCCCGGCGGGCCCCCCCCCCCCAGCGCACGGGGCGTCCACGGGGGCGCCCTCGACGGCCACCAGGGCGAACTCACGGAGCTCGGACACACTTCGCTCGGGACAGGAGGAGAGGAGGGGCAGCGGCCAGACTTTCGCTCGGGACAGGAGGAGAGGAGGGAGCGGAGGAGGAAGAGGAGAAGGAGGACGAGGAGCAGGGGCAGGAGGAGGAGCAGGAGGAGGAGGAGGAGGCGGAGGAGCAGGAGGAGGAGGAGGAGCAGGAGGAGGAGGAGGGCCCGCGCAGCACACGACGCGCCCACGAGGCGCCCGCGGCCGGCCACCACAGCAGGGCGTCGGGCGCGAAAATCCCCCCCGCGGGCCCACCCAGCGCACGGGAGCGCCCTCGTGGGCGCCCGGGAGCGGCCGCGCGCCTGGCACCGTGCAAGGCCTGGGCTGACCCGTCCAGTCCCTGAGGAGACCCAGCTAAGATCCGCACGAACGAAATGGGCACGGAAGGAATGGGCACAATGCCCAACAGCCGATCCTGTTCATTTTGAGCAGGGCTCGCCGTCCGCGCCGCCGCGGCCTGTGTCCGTTCGAGACAGAAGGCCGCCTGCCCAACAGCGGCCGCTGCTGGTTTGGGACAACATTTGTTGTTGGGCATTGTACCCATTCTTTCCGTACCCATTTCGGGCGTCGAGCACCTGGGTGCAAGCACTCTCTGGCAATGCAGGAAGCCTGCTACCACGAATGTGCGCGGCGCCTAGGCGAGAGGTGCATCGAGGGGAAAGCGTTCCCCATGTGATCGTTGGAAGCGTGTATATCGAGCGTCCGCGGAACCGAGGCGGGAGCCACATTAAGAGAGCCACACGCCCTCCACGCGTGTATATGTTGCAACTGGTAAGTTCCAGGGTCACACAATGCCAGGACGTCTCAGGACACACACACACACCGCCGGTTCAAACGCCGCGTCTGGCGATGCCGCGAGGCAAACAGACTGATCAGAAAGAGGGTTGAGGAGGAGTAGGAGGAGAAGGAGGAGAAGGAGGAGGAGGAGGAGGCGGAGCACGGACTGCGTATGCGAGAGGAAGGGCGGATGACGATGAGGGGGGAGTAAGGAGGGGGCGGTGAGGAGGAGGAGAAGGAGGAGGAGGACGAGGAAAGGAGGAGAGGAGGATGAAGGGCGGACGGGAGGAAGGTAGCAGCCAGAGTTGAGAGAGGAGCACCTTCTCGAACCTCTTCGCCATCGACGGCAGCATGAAAACGGCTGCAGATGACGATCAGCCTTTCCCGATGGTCGAGGAGGGCTACATGACCCGGACAGACGATCTGCTGAGGGTGTTCAAGTGCAAGACCAAGAGCCATTGCCCAGGTGGCCTGCCCGCTACCTGCGCACGGGGGCGTGACAGCGGCGAGGTCGCCTGCGCAAGGTGCGAGGACTACACGTACGAGGAGGGTGAGGAGTGCCACCCTTGTCAAGCGAACGCTACGTGGCTTGTTCTGTTGGCATGCTTCGCTGCCGTCGTGGCAGTCTGTGTTGGAACCATATCCGTTAACCGTAATCTGCTGATGCAGACGAGCTCGACTTTGATGTGTGTCATCATGGCTAGCCAGATGTTCCTCGGCCTCCAGACGTTTTCGGTCTTCACTTTTTTCAGCCTGGAGTGGTTCGAACCGTTGCGGGGCATGCTCAAAATCATGTCCTTAATAAGCTTTGATCTCGAAAT